CAGCCCCCAGGCCCGGCCCCGCCGCCCCCCGCCCCCCACCCCCCATTTCCCCACTCACCGCTCGGCGCTGCGGGCGGGGGGCGGCCCGGGGCGCGGGTTCGAAGCCCGAGTGCGGCCGCGCGGACCGCCCCGCCGCCGTCTGCCGACAACAATGGGGCCGCGCCTTATATACCCCCCAATCACGTGACGGCAGGCCCCGCCCCCCTCCTCCCCTCCCCACGCACACTTCGCTCGCGGGGGGTGGCGGGAAAGCGAGTCCGAGCGGGGCGTGATGGGAAACGGAGTGCGGAAGTGGGCGCGGGGCACGTGGGGGAGGGGAGGGAGAGCTGCGGGGGGGGGGGGGGGGGGGGGGGGGGGGGGGGGGGGGGGGAGGAGGAGGAGGAGGAGGAAGGCCCGAGCCACCGCCGGAGTCTAGACGGAGATTAACGCGGCGGGGAGCGGCAAAAAGCGCCTTAAAGGGAAAATAATGGGACAGATGCGAGGCAGAGCGCACCGCGCCCTGCAGACCACCAGCGCCCTCCCCTCGGCTTAGCTCGTTAACCAATCAATTAACGAATGAGCGGGCTGACACGTTCCGTGCAGGCACCAAGGGGTGACCGCCCCCACCCCCCATCCTCAGCCCGCTGCTCCCCCCGTTCCCACCCGCAGCTCCGTGCCCCACACACACCTGCAGCGTCCGTACAAAACTTTACCTGCTGCCCCACGGCTCCGTTACAGAACAGCATGGAACGCACAGCAGCCCCCCCACCTCCACCCCTCGGAGTTACCAAACCACCCTACAGGGGAGCACCGAGCGCCCCGAGCGAGGGAGGCAGCTCCGGTTCCTTCCCAAGGAGCTGAGTGTCCAGTGAGCTCAGCCTCCATTGAGCTGAGCTGAGCCTCACTTGAGGCTTCTGTGGGGTTGAACTGACCCAGTCCGAGTCCCTCGCTGAGCTGAGCTGCCCTTGAGCTGAGCTGAGTGTCCCTCTGAGTCGAGGTGAGTCTTCACTGAGCTGAGCATCACATTGAGTCGAGTCTCCACTGAGCTGAGCCTCCATTGAGCTGAGCTGAGCCTCACGATGAGCCTTCTGTTGAATTAAGCTGAGTGCCCCATTGAATTGACCCAGTCCCTCACTGAGCTGAGCTGCCTTTGAGCTGAGCTGAGTCTCCACTGAGCTGAGCCTCACGATGAGCTGAGCCTCACATTGAGCCTTCTGTTGAGTCGAGCTGAGTGCCTCATTGAACTGACCCAGTCCCAGTCCCTCATTGAGCTGAGCTGCCTTTGAGCTGAGCTAAGCGTCCCTCTGAATTGAAGTGAGTCTTCACTGAGCTGAGCATCACACTGAGTTGAGTCTCCACTGAGCTGAGCCTCCATTGAGCTGAGCTGAGCCTCACGACAAGCCTTGAGTCGAGCTGAGTGCCCCATTGAATTGACCCAGTCCCTCACTGAGCTGAGCTGCCTTTGAGCTGAGCTGAGTGTCCCTCTGAGTCGAGGTGAGTCTTCATTGAGCTGAGCTGAGCTGAGCCTCACGACGAGCATTCTGTTGAATTAAGCTGAGTGCCCCATTGAATTGACCCAGTCCCAGTCCTTCACTGAGCTGAGCTGCCTCTGAGCTGAGCTGAGCGTCCCTCTGAGACAAGGTGAGTCTTCATTCAGCTGAGCCTCCTCTTGAATTGAGCTGAGAACCCCGCTGAGCTGAGCCTCCACCGAGTCCTGAGTCTCTCACTGAGCTGAGCTTCACGCTGAGCTCAGCTGAGTCTCCTATTGAGCGTTCCACTGAATCCAGCTGAGTCTCCCTCAAACTCATCTCACTCCTCCCCACCTCCATCTTCAGAGCTGAGGCAGGAGGATGCAAAGGTAGCAAACAGCTCAGCACGTAGATACAGCTTCAGATTTCCAACCAAGACACCTGAATCTTTCTCCCTTTCACTTGACAGCACAAAAATGTGCAGAAAAGAATCCTCCAGGCAAACCACGTGAGCTGCTTTTCTCTCCAGCTCCATTTCGTTCCACATTCTGCTCCAGCTTTATACACCTGTGCCAACTAATGCTGATGAGGGAGGGAAAGGAGCGTGAGAAGCAGCGGAGGTTGCTTTTGGGTAAGTCCTGTGTGGGGTCAGGAGTTGGACTCAATGATCCTTGTGGGTCCCTTCCAACTCAGGATGCTGTGATTCTGAGGGATGGCAGCACACCTGCACACAGCAGCAGCTCTTCCATGGTGGTGGATAGGAGAAAAAGCCTAAGGGATCAACTTCCATTCAAAATCACAGCGCACCAAAGTCCTGAAGAAAATCCCTCCCAGCCCTCTCCTACCACCACTCCACGTGTGCGTTCCAGACCCGCTCAGCTCCACGGGGCTGGGAGCACTGGGCTGGTTTCCTTCACATCCACTCACCAGTCCAAATCTCAAAGGAGCTGCTGCCTTCTGGTAAAACAGAGCCACGAAAAGCCCTCGTGCAGCTCTGAGGTCCCAAAGGTGAACTCTGCTCACTGCCACGTGAGAGCACAACATGGAGACGTCAGCAGAGCATCACCCGTGGGTGGTTTGCAGCTGTAAGGGCGAGGAAGGGGCTGAGAACCAACAGCTCTGGGGCTTTGAAAAGGCCAGTGGGAGCTTCTGGATCTCTGCTCTCATGTCCTGGTGCTGGAAGTGAGGGGGATTCACACACAATGAGAGGACTGTGGCTGTTCCTCATCCCGTCCCCTCCTACTTCAGGATGATGTGGTAGCTGTCATTGGTTTCAGCTGCGAAAAGAAGGGAAGTGGATGAGACACTGCTGGCAGTGAAGGGATCTGCTGCATTCAGATCTGGCACAGAGGATGGGCAGAGCATCGCTTACGCACCTTTCATGGTGTCCAGAACAAAGCAGGATTCATCCTGGAAGTTCTGAATCATCTGAAAGAAGCCACAACATAGCTGAGTCCAGGGCTGCACCTGAACACGGGGCTACACTGCACAGACAGGGCTCGGAGCAGGAAGGCCACCCACAGTAATACTTATCCCTTCCTCCACTTCAGAACCACAAATCTGAACCAGCAAGCCAAGGGAAAGTGCTCCAACCCTGCAGCGTGGTCTGAAAGCAAAGCCCTTTCCCAGCAGCTCCCCTCCTGCTCCCAGCAAAGCACAGCAGGGACAGCTGTGCCCTTACAATTCCACCCCCCACTCCAGATCTATGTGAGTGCTGCCAGCATCCCCTGTGCTGTCTGACATCCTCAGCTCCCACAGCTTCATCAATTAACTCTTTGGAAGCAGCAGCAAATGAGAGGGGCCCACCCTGAGGTCGTGCTTTGGAGGCTGGACATGAAGTGGTGTGAAAGGCAGAAAAAAGGAGCAGTGAGGGACTGTTACCTCGTCGCTGATCAGCACGTGTATCCCCGTCGGACCCTGCTTGTAAATCTGGCTGATCTGCTGTGAGGAGATGCTGAAGAGCTGAGCCAGCTTCTCTGTCAGCTCCACCGCCGTCAGCTCCTCCAGATAGATCGCGTGGTACACTGCAAGGACAAGGAGTGCTGCAGTGGTGTGCCAGGAGCCTGCAGAGCAGCCATGCTGAGCAGAGCAGCTCTGAAAGCAGTGTGCACTGGCTTGGGCTGGAAGGGACCTTAAAGGTCATAGAACTGTGGGATGGTTGGGATGGTAGGGTCCTGGAAGACTACAGAACTCTAGGATGTTTCGATTGGAAGGGACCTTGAAGATCATAGAGCCATAGGAGGGTTGGGTTGGAAGGGTCCTTAAAGATCACAGAACTGTAGGATGGTTGGGCTGGAAAGGACCTCACAGCTCCACCCCCTGCCCTGGGCTGTCCCACCCCCCATCAGCTGCCCAGGGCCTCATCCACAGCCGTAAGTCCCTCCAGGGATGGAGCACCCACTGCTTCTCATCCAGCAAAACCCCCAAGAGCTCCTCCTTCCCTGCAGGGCTGCTCTCAGTTCTGCACTCCATCCCCACACCTGGGATTGGCCCAGACATTTGTGTAAACCCCCATGCAACATGCAGCTTCTCTCCTGCACTGCTTTTGCTCCATGGCTGTACAACACCCTGAGCTACAAAAGCACCAACGCCGCAGTAACGTGGCCACCAACGTCCTGCAATGCTCCATTTGCATTTATGCAACTCTCTCCCCTAAAAGCTCCCATCCTGACCATCACTCTGTTCCATTCCTGGCATTTTTACATCAGGCCCTCCATTCCCCCAGCCCTGCAGTGGGAAGGGAAGGACACACAATCTGCTTTTGCCTTCGCTCTGAGCACAGAGCGACGCCTGGCTGCTGCACAAATGTAGGTCACCCATTGTCTGGGCAGCTCTGCATTCACACAGGAGCCACTGTTGGTCAGCTCAAAGCAAACAGCACGCCGTGGGTCAGGATCTGCAGCCACCCCTCTGGCCAACAAGGGGAAGATCTGCAGGGTGAGGAACGGGGCAGACAAAATGCTTGCTGCAGCTCTGTGCCCAAGAGAGTGTGCACAGCTCTTTGGTTTGCCTGGAGCCTGCGTGAGCTGCAGGAGAAAGCAGCCCAAAGGAGGCACAGCAGCTGGAAAGCAAAGCCACCGTGCTTCCAGCTGCTACGCACCCACAGCCCCGAGGTCCATCAGGTGATGGGTGCTGGGAGACCCAGACCTGAGCACCTGGGAGCAGTTCCACTGCTCCTGTGTGATTTCTGTTGGCTGAGCCCACCGCTGCTCCCCCTGCTCTCCTCCAGGCCCTTACCAAAGAAGGTGCTGGTGACTGCATCGCCGTCCTCATGCTTCTGCTGCAGCTCCTGCAGCTGCTGGGACTCCTGGCACACGTAGATGGTCAGCCTGGGCCGCACCATCCTGCAGACAAAGCACAGGGGTTGGCTCCAGGGCCCCGAGACAGCACTCAGCATCCTCCCAAGGAACAGAGCAGGTGGAGGAATTCACCCAAAAGCAAAGGGGCAGAGGCTGATGCCACCCCCAGGGGTGTGTCGGTGTCGGTCCCCACTGAGGGATGTGGGCTCCCTGCATCACTCCACGTGCCCTGCATGGATTCTCACTCCATGCACCCACACCCTGAGCCCACACCTCTGCGCAGTGCTGTCCCTCTGCCCTCCAACAGGAGGATTTGTTCTAACGCTCCTCACCCACATGGATTTCCCTTCTTCCCAGAGCAGCTTCCCCACAATCCCAGCTGCCAAACTGGAAGGTCCACACCACATCCTGCCCAATCCAGAGGCACATCTCGATCAAGCAGCCCCAAACCCACCGTCCTTTCAGTGCGTTGAAGAGCCTGATGCCATCTGCAGGGCCGCAGATCTGGATGACATCTTCCCTGGTCAGCTTCAGCAAGTCTGCACCTGCAGGAGTGACAGCACAGGAAGAGCCTGGAGCAACGCTCAGCCCCTGGGGCAGAGCCCACCTCCCTACAGCTCCCCCCACACCTCAGGAAATGAACCACGCAGCTCTCAGGCAGTTTTACCATGTTCCAAGTACAAATTTCCAACCATCTGTGCCAGGTAATGGGAGTGGGGGGAGGCAGAGGGATCTGATGGTACCTGAGAAGTTCCGGAACAGACGGGAGAATGTGGAGAAACGATTCCGGTGCAGCCACTGCTGGGCCTCCTGGGGAGTGCTGGTGGGCAGGAGGTTCTGTGGGGTGGGAGAATATGGTCACAGTCCCAGAGGGGACAGAGCACAGAGCGTGGCTTTGGCATTATAATCACCCTCACAGCGAGACCAGAGGGCACTGGGCTCAGTGGGCACAGAACAGCAGCTGTAGCTGGGGTGGGTTTGGGTTTCAAAGGCTCCACAGGGACAGGGAAAGGGGAAGGAAGCAACAGGGAAGACATGAGAGAAGAGAGCACGATCAGTACAGGCAGCCTGCTATCAAACAGAACCACAGGATGCTTGGGCTAGAGGGGACTTTAGGGCTCATCCAGCTCCTACCCCCCACCCTGGGCTGCTTTCACCCCCCAGCAGCCACCCAGCACCCCAACCACGGCCCTGAGCCCCTCCAGGGATGGGGCACCCTCACTTCCCCAGGCAGCAGCGCTGGGTCTCCCTGCCCTCTGTGCACAGTTCCCTTCCCACACCTCACCTCCACCCTCTTTGTGAATTTAAAACCGTTAGGAACCAAAAAGAAGAGTTCCTAAGGATGTTAAACCCCAGTAGCATCTTACCAAGCAAAGTGCCGAGTGCAGCACCCAAACCCCCACCCCCCCCATGCACCCCCACTTCCGACACACACGCCATCCTTACCCCAAGCATAAGCTCTGAAGTGTGACTTACATCTGCGATCGGAGGGGGGGGCTCAGGCTGGTGGTTTGGAGACCCATTCCTGGATGGGGGCAGAGAGAGGCAGACAGAGCAGAGCCCACAGTCAGCTCCGCACCAGTGCCGCCCCAACACCACTGGGACGCGGGGTCACAGAATGGCAGTGTGTGCCCTGGTGGCCAAAATGGCCAATGTTGGCCAACAGGTTGACCACTGCAGTGCAATTCTGTGACCACGGTGAGTATGGATGCACTGATCCCTCACGTGGGGCAGGAACCCCCCTCCAGACTCACCCTTCTCCGATGGAGAAGCTGCTGTGGGAGCTGTTGAAGCCGGGGGACGGCGCGTTGTTGACGTAGGTGATCTCAGGCCATGGAGAGCACTGGAAAGGAAAAACCCAGAGGAGTGATGGAGCTCGGAACAGACCTGCACCCCACCCTGAGTAACAGCCATTTGCCACCTGGTTACTACAAAAAAGAATTAAGTAATGATTGTGAAGCCGTGCCAGCTCCACAAAGCCTCCCAACAAACACCAGCCCAGAGCAGGGCTCTCTGCTGCCAGCACTGGGCTGACGCAGCGCACAGAGCCCACATTCCCCAGGGAAGGATGAGGACTCCATCCCCAGCACTTCTAGAGGCTCAAAGTCCCACATTCCCATGAGCAAAGGCAGGGAATGACGGGGTTTTGTGCTGACAGCCTCGGCAGCTCATTGCTGCCACACGGGCACAGTGAAGCTGGCAGCAGAGGTGCCATCTCTCATGACAGCTCAGGTCTGGGAGGACGCAGCTCCTCAGCCCACTTGTTTTGTCCACCCTGCAGCTGTGGGCCCAGCCAGGCGTTGTGCTGCAGAGCTGCAGTGCCCACCTCGGTGAGGATGGTGGTCTCATAGGAGGGCTGGTACTTCTCCTTCTCGTGCGGGGTGCGCTTCTCCATCTTCTCACGGTCAGTCTTCTGCTTCCGATCGGCTCCTTTGGGCTGGGAAGGAGAAACACTCCTTAGAGGAGCAGTGCAGGATGGGGGTAACGGAGGGGTGGGCAGGCATGCAGGCATCTCCTCCTGCTCAGCCTCGTGCTGCTTGCAAAGGGCTGGGGATGCCCCTGCATGGCACCAGCAGCAGTGGCTCCCCAGCACACCTCACCCTCCTGAACAAGGGGCCAAGTGGGTTTGGAGAAAGCCACAGCGCTGAGCTGGCACCGAGGGAACCAAGGGCTCTGCTGTCCTCCAGCCACACTGCAGCTCTGATAGCATCCGTGGTGCCAGCAGTGCAATTCTGTGACCACAGCACCCCACGGAGCACAGCCCTGCTGCACCGAGCTCCAATTAAAGCATTTCCCACTTGGTTCCTTTACAACCAAGCAAGGCACAGAGCCACGTCTCACGGCCTTCCTCTTACACCCTCCCCTTTCTGCTTTCTCTTTTAACCCACAAGGTCACGCCGGCATAACCAACACGAGGACTGGCAGCATCCCCCCAGCAACCCCATGTTGCTTCCACTGTGGGCAAGGAAATCATGCTTCAACACCGTGGCTACGCCTGTGGGCGCTGCAGCTTCAGTGCTGGGTTTTCCTGGGATAGAGCCAGAAGTGGAAAAATTCCATCCCCAGGACACATCCACAGAGTGACCACGGGGGTGACTGTGAGCCAGGTGTGCCCTGGTGGCCAAGATGGCCAATGTTGGCTAACAGGCTGACCAAGAATTGATCAGAGGTCAACCACAAGGGTGACTGTGAGCCAGCAGCATGCCCCGGTGGGCAGGATGGCCAATGCTGGCCAACAGGTTGACCAGGAGTTGACCAACTATTGAACATAGGGTGACTGTGAGCCAGCAGTGTGCCCCAGTGGCCAAGATAGCTAACAGTGGCCAACAGGTTGACCAAGAGTTGACCAACAGGTTGACGAGCTCCCAGAGGTCCCTTCCAGCCCCAGCAGCTCTGTGATTGTGTTTCTGTCAGTGTGGGAGCTCTCAGAGAGCAGCAGCATGACCCACGTGCTCCCCAGCACATCACTCTAAAAGGACCCAGAGCTTGCAAGCTCAGCCACAGCCCTGCAGCTGCAACACTCAGCCAGGCCACAGTGGGACAAGACTGAGCTCCGCTTCACGTCCTATGGGGCAGGGACGTGGGCTGGTTACTGCATTACCTTGAACACCTTGATCTGGCAGCTGGCTGAGTGCAGGTGCTCTGTGTACTCCCCGTTCTCATTCTCCTTGAAGGTGTCGATCTGCACCCGGAATGGCACTCCCTTCTCCCCGCCGTGCTTCCGCATGGTGAACTCGGTGCTGATGCAGTGCACCTGGGGAGGCAAGGAGAGCTGCTGTCAGTGCTCACACGGGACCATGCTGTGTAACAGCAGCACCGAGGAGCCAGGAGCACGCAGCAGAGCTGCAGCCCATTCCTTCCCATGAGTTTTGCAGCTCCGTGATGCTGCCACCAAGCCCTCGCGCACCGCAGATCACTTTGTTCCAGGCAGCACAAGAGATCTGCAAAAGGCCTAAATCACCAGGAGCACAAACAAAACGACCCACAGGTGGTCAGCTGAGCTGCTGATGCATGGCTGCCATCCTCCTGCATCGCCTGCAGCAGGAGGAGAGCTGCAGCTTAGTTCACATCATCTCCCCTTGAGGCGCACAGCGGCTGCTCGGAGCTCTGAGCCACAGAAGCTCCATCCTGTGCTCTTGGAAACTCCCAGCTGCTCTCCTGGGGCCCTGCATGAGGAGCTCCCATTCCCCACAGTACCTGGATGAACACCGACGTCCTCTTTGAAGGATCCCATAGAAACTCCACGGTGTTGAGCTGAGTGGGATTGGCTCTTGGGTCAATGATGCCCACAGACATGGGGATATCTGCACAGAGACCAAGCTGTGATGTTTGTCAGGAGAAGCAAAAGATTCCCAGGGGACACAGGCCTGCACATCAGTGACAGAACTGCCCCTCAGAGCCCAGGGATGCTCCAATCTCCCTGAAGGACCTCACCTATGTCCAGGATCCTGTCCCCAGGCCGGTTCCAGCGCCAGCCCTCCAGCTGCTGGTGCTCCGTGTACTGCAGCCGTCGGTCGTGGAAAACCACCCGGAAAATGCTCTGAGGAAAGGGGGGGACAAGAAGTCAGGAGCCCCCCAGGTAAACCCCCAACCTGCGTCCAGGGGGTGAGAACAGGAGCAGAGGGACATGAAGGGGGGGGGTGTCAGAAAAGCAGCAAAGGAAGTGCCATAGATGCACTGTGCTCACCTTCACCAGCTTCCCATTGATCTCAGGCAGCTCCCCAATTTTCCTATTGTCCAGCATGCGGATCTCATAGGACTGCCCTGCAGGGAAGAAGAGAGGTCACACAGGGAGGAACATCCCCTGCTGCTCCTCTCCAGCACTCAAACCCTTCTGCTGTCACAGGATGTGTTGCTATCGAGCTTCAGCACCGTGCACCACTGCTGTGCAGCACTTGCTGCAAAGCAACAGATGTAGCTGGGATCTGCAACAGCCCCACTGCCAAGCAGCAGCCGGGAGCTACGAGACCCCCACTGCATAGCTGGAGAATTGCAACAGCTCCATTGCAAAGCTGCAGCTGGGAGCTGCTTTCCTTTACCCACAGGACAAATGCACGGGTGTTAGGGCAGCGTTAGCAGACAGTTCCCACCTTGGTTGAGGTAGGTGAGTGTTTCGTCGTGCAGCTTCACAGCAGGCGATGTGGCTGCACACAGCACGTACTGAAAGGGCAGAATTTTGTTCTCGTTCTCTGGAGGCAAGCTGGACTCCTCCTGCTTGAAGATGGGCAGCGCCAGGACGTCGCTGCAAGAGAGGTGGCACACAGGGTCACTTCAGCTCTGCTGCAGACGCACGGAGCTGCTGGGTGCAAGCAGGAGCACTGCTGAGCACAGACATGCGGTGCATTGGGTTGGAATGGCTGCAGACCCGACGTGCAGCAGCTGCCTCCAGCTGCAATGATGGCCTCAGAGCCCCTCTGCAGCCAGCACAGCTCCAGCCTCGGCATGCTGCGTGAGTTCACTAGATCCTCATAGGTTCAGTTGGGTTTCCTTCCTTTAGTTGAACATTAAAAACTTCTCAGAGGGAAAACTGGGCTGCTTTGGGTAGAGCGCAGCTCCCACCCCCACAGCGCTTTAGTCTCCAGCAATCACAAACCCACTCCTGATCCAAAGCTGTGTGAGCAATGCTCACGATGGCTGCACAAACCTAGGGATGGGAGGAGCTGCTGGCAGCCCTCCCCATATTACACAGCCTCCATCCTCCCCCTGAACCCCACTGCCTTCCTCCCACCCCCTTCCACACAGGTGAGGGCAATAGAAACGTCTTCCTCACTCCGATCCCAGCCCTCAGCCTGTCCCAACCAGGAGGGGCTCCAGGCCCCCACAAGCTCTGCACCCTCCATGGGGCTCTCCCAGCACTTCCCAGTCTGTCCTGACCTGGGGAGCCCAGCACTGGGCCCTGTGCTCTGGATGAGGCCTTCCCAGTGCAGAACAGAGGGGGATGCACCTCCCTGCCCTGTTGGCAGCACTCTGTGCAGTGCCCCACAGGGCCATCGGGGGGCACTGCTGGCTTCTGGTCACCCTCTGTCAACCTTTGGTCAAGTCTTAGTCAACCTGTTGGCTACCAGTAGTCACCTTGGCCACCCTGTTGACTCACAGTCACCCTATGGCTAACTGTTGGTCAACTCTTGGTCTACCTGTTGGCCACCAGTAGCCATCTTGGCCACCAGGGCATACTGATAGCTTGCTGTCACCCTGTACTCAACTGTTGGTCAAGTCTTGGTCAATCTATTGGCCACCGTTGGCCATTTCAGCCTCCAGGGCACACTGCTGGCTCATGGTCTCGCTGTGGTCAACCACTGGTCAACTCTTGCTCAACCTGTTGGTCACCACCGGCCACCAGGGCATACTGTTGGCTCACAGTCACCCAGTGCTCAACCACTGGTCAACCTATTGGCCACCAGTAGCCATTTTGGCCACCAGGGCATGCTGCTGGCTCACTGTCACCCTGTGCTCAACTGTTGGTCAACCTGATGATCACCATTGGCCATCTTGACCACCAGGGCATGCTGCTGGCTCACGGCCACCCTGTTGGCCAACTGGGACACCACTGGCCTTCCTGGCCACAAGAGCACACTGCTGGCGTATGGTCAACCTCTTGTCAACTGCTGGCCAACCAGAACACCACTCCTGGCCACCAGGGCACTCTGTCAGCTCATGGTCACCCTACAGCCACCAGGACAGACCCCAAGGTCCCCCTCTGCAGACCTCCATTGCAGGAGCTCCGACCCTGACCTGCACTGACACACACAGCTGCTCCTCCCTGGGTGCAGGACACGTAATGAACCTCACCAGGTTTGCTCCACTGTCGCTCTGCCCTCCAAATGCTGCCACCTGGAGCCCCAGCATACGTTGCACACACCCTCAGCTCAGCACAGGGAATGGTGCCAGCAGGGCACAATCAAAAAGTTAAAGATTTAGAGGGGTAGGATGTTTAAAAAAGCAGCAAGGGCTTAAGGAGCAGCAGTTCTTTAAGACAGGGGGATGCCAGGGCACCTCCACAGGAAGCAAAATGGCAGCCATCTTCCAAAGGTGTGGCCATAACACAAGTCATGGTGGTGCTGGATGAATTTAATATTAAATTTTAGTAACATCTCATGATATTTTATCAATTATTATTAAAACAAGCCTCTTCCTTGTTGCAGGGCACTGGGTGATGCTCAGCATGTGCAGAGTTGGGACAGCCCAACTGAGATCACGGAACCATGGGATGGTTAGGTTGGAAGGGTCCTGAAAGCTGACAGAACCATGGGATGGTTGGGTTGGAAAGGTCCTGAAGGGTCACGGAACCATGGGATGGTTGGGTTGGAAGGGTCCTGAAAGATCACAGAACCATGGGATGGTTGGGTTGGAAGGGTCCTGAAAGGTCATGGAACCATGGGATGGCTGGGTTGGAAGGGTCCTGAAAGATCACAGAACCATGGGATGGCTGGGTAGGAAGGGTCCTGAATGATCACAGAACCACGGGATGGTTGGGTTGAAAGGGTCCTGAAAGATCATAGAACCATGGGGTGGTTCGGTTGGAAGGGCCCTCAAAGATCATGGAACCATGGGATGGTTGGGTAGGAAGGGTCCTGAAAGACCATAGAACCATGGGATGGTTGGGTTGGAAGGGCCTCACAGCCCCCTCAGCCCCACCCCCTGCCCTGGGCTGCTCCCACCCTCCCAGCAGCCACCCATGGCCATAAGAACCTCCAGGGATGGGGCACCCACACTTCTCCAGGCAGCAGTGTCAGAACTCACCACCCTCAGAGTACAGAACTCCCTGCCCACACCTCACCCCAACTCTCCCGTGCCGTAGGGCCGCCCCCAGCCACAGCCAACCCCAACCCCTCCTACCTCATGCTGTAGGCTCCCGCTCCCAGCTCCTGCCCGATGCCCGACAGGCTGGCATCAAAGTCCTGCACCAGCCCCGACTCGATCACCTCGTCTGCCAGCGGCAGCTTCAGCGCCCAGGCCATGCTCCCCCCGCAGGGCCCGGGGCCACGTTCCCAGCACGGGAGGGCCAGGCGGGGTCCCCTGGTGCGTCACCCCCTGCAGGGAGTGCAGCCTGGGGCTCCTCGAGGGGCTCTGCAGCTCCGCTCCCTTCCCTCCTTATGGGGACCTCCCCTGGGGGGCCCAACGTGGAGGACCCTCCTCCCGCCCCTCAAAGCTTTCAGTCCTCTCCCAAAGGGCTGCACCCACAGACACCCCAAATGGCCTCAGCCCCCTCGCAGGCCCCACAGCCCTTCTCCCCTAATGCCTGCACCCTGCAGAGAACCTCCCAGGCCCTACAGGCACTGCTGAGCCCCCAGGGAACCCCCCTCAAAGACAGTATAGGCGCTGCCTGAAGGGCTGTACCCTCTGGGTAAACCCCCCCCAAAGGGCTGCACAGCTGGGCACCCCCAGGCCCTACAGACACCCCATTGAGGGGCTGCACGCTGCAGGCACCCCAAGGCCCTACAGGCACCCCTAAAAGCCCTCCTAAGGCCCTACAGGTCCTCACAGGCCCTATAGGCACTCTCAGGCCCTCCTAAGGGCCCATAAATACCCCCAAGCCCTCCTGAGGCCTTATAGGGTCCTCCTAAGGCCCTATAGACAACTCCAGGCCCTATAGGCACGCCTAAGGCCCTACAGATGCCCCCAGGCCCTCCTGAGGCCCTACAGGTCCTCCCAGGCCCTATAGACACCCTCAGTGCCTTCTAAGGCCCTATAAACACCCCTAGGCCCTCCTGAGGCCTTATAGGCATCCCAGGCCCTACAGGCACCCCAGGCCCCCCTAAGGCCTTACAGCCGCCCCCAGGCCCTACGGGCGCCCCCAGCCCCGCTGCTCCCGACCCCCTCCTGAGGCTGCACGCTCCCCAGCCCCCTTACGGCTTTGCGGGAGCCCCCAGCCCCGCCCCGAGCCCCGCACCGCCCCGCAAAGGGCTCCGGGCCGCGGCCCCCGCAAAATGGAGGCGGTGGCGCCTGGAGCCCCCGCGCAGCCCCAACGGGAAGCACGCCCCGCCTCTTTCCGTCGCGATCAGCCAATAGGAACTCGGCGCGGTAGAATGACGCAAGTAGGACGCAGCCAATGGTGGAGCCCGAGCGCGGCTCTGAGCGTTGGGATTGGTTGATGGGGGAAGTGGGCGGGGCGCGATGAGCGGCGTGGTGCGCTCGGGTCCCACCGCCCGGAGAGGTTCGCGGCCGCGCGGGGATTGAGAGACCGCGGGTTCGAGGCCCGGGTCGGGATCGTGAGTGCGCTGAGTTGCGCGGTCTCAGCCGGAGTTGGGCTGGCTCGCGGCGGCGAGCAGAGCCGTGCCCTCCTCCTCCACATCGCCAGGATTTGGGAACGTGCACGGTGAAGGGAGAGCAGCCCGCTCACTGGAAAGAACGGGAAAAAGGAAAAGAAAAAAGAAAAATACTGTTTATTTCACACCACTACATCAAGTGCATCATGTCTCCC